AAAAAAAAAGGTTGAGAAGTTAGAGGGTTGACATGTTGTGGGGTTGTTAACTAATGTCATAAAACAATACGCGTACTACTGTTTCATGAGAAACTATTTGTTCTGTAAGCCTTCACCTGAAGTACAATTAAAAAAAAAAAAACGTGTGTCAACTTGGCTAGGCCATGATTCCCAGTAGTGTGTGGTTGTCCTCCGCTTTGTGACCTTATGTAATTATCCTATGTGTTGTAAATCCTAACTTTTATGATGTTAATGAGGCAGGATTAGAGGCAGTTATGTTAATGAGACAGGATACAATCTACAGGATTAGGCTGTATCTTGACTCAAACTGTTTTGAGATATAAAACAGAGAAGCAAGTAGAGAGGAGAGGGACCTCCTATCACCAAGAAAGTACAGCCAGGAACGAAGTGCATCCTTTGGACCTAGGGTCCCTGTGCTGAGACACTCTTAGACCCAGGGAAACACTGATGACAAGGACCTTTCCCCAGAGCTGACATGGAGAGCAAGGCTTCCCCTGGAGCTGGCACTCTGAATTTGGACTTCTAGCCTCCTAGGCTGTGAGAGAATAAATTTCTGTTTGTTAAAGCCATCCACTTGTGGTATTTCTGTTACAGCAGCACTAGATAACTGAGACAGAATTTGGTATCAGGAGAGTGGGGTGTTCCTCTAACAGATATTTAAAATGTGGAAGCAGTTTTGAAACTGTGAATGGGAAGAAGCTGAAAGAGTTTTAAGGTGTCTAATAGTGAAAGTCTAGATTGCCTTGAAGAGACTGTTGGTGGAATTCCGGACATCAAAGGCAAATCTGCTGAGGGCTCAGAAAGAAGTGAGGAGAGCTGTAACGTTGGAGACAGCACAGCCAGCCAGAAGCAACAGCAGAGAAACGGCAGCAGCAGAACCAGGAGACCTGCGTGAGATGGCACTGGAGCCGATCCATGGAGCAAGGTGGCTGAGTGCCTCTGGGCAGGAGGCTTCTTGACAGACTGGGGTGCCTCCAGGCACTTCACAGTGGAGCTAGGCTTGCTGACCTATGCAGCGAGAGAGCTGAGTGCCTTCAGGCTAAGGCTTACTGGCAGAGTGGGGTGCCTCTAGGCACTTACCAGCAGAGCTAAAGAATTTTGTGACACTTGTCCAAGCAGGGTACAGGCCAGGCAGGCCTAAAAGGCCCTAGGGGCCAAGAGATCAAGGAACCAGGAAACAGAAGCTAAAGAGAAAAGGAGCACAGGAAGCAGAGCTGCCTCAGTCTCAAAGGGTTGGGCCATGACCTCTGGGGTCTCAAAGGGTGGGGCCACGGCCTCCTAGGTTTCAAAGAGTCATATCTTCACCAACTCATTTCCAGAGTGTGGGACTGCCGTTCACAAGTGCCAGGGTGATGGGGCCAGATCTGCTGCCCAAAGCTGAGGGGGTGAGGCTGCAATGCCCAAGGGGCAGAAGAACGGGGCCTGCTGGGGCCAGGGGGGAGGGTCACCACTCAGACTGACTAGGAGAATGGGGCTGACCAAATCCAAGGGAGCAGAGTTGTTGTTCCAGTGGGCCTGGAAGGCAGAGCTGAAGCTCAGGGCTGAGGATCTTACACCCAGAATCCAGAGAGCATGGCCAACAACACCCAGAGTCTGGAGGGCAGGGCGACTGCATAATTGGTCTCAGAGAACAGAGGATTATTTTCAAGCCTTGAGAGCTAATATAATGTGTTCTGCTGGGTTTTTCACTTGCTTAACCAAAGCCAAACCCGCTGCCGTCAAGTCGACTCTGACTCATAGCGACACTGTAAGACAGAGTAGAACTGCCCCATAAGGTTTCCAAAGAATGGCTGGTGGACTAGAACTGTCAACATTTTTGGTTAGTAGCCAAGTCATTCCTGATCCTGAATTGTAAACTTTTATTACCCTAATAAGCCCCGTAATTGAGAGTATTGCCTGTGACTTCTGTGTAGCCATTGCAACAAATTATTGAACCCAGTAGAAAAGTAGAGAGTACAGTGGGAGGGACAGCTGATGTCAGAATCTCTAAAAAGGTTGGAGAGAGGAGGCATGTCTGACCTCTGCCTTATAGCAATCAGCTTTGGGCTGTTGATGCTGCTAATGATCCTCTCTCGTTTCCCTTGTGAAGTTAGATGAGGTCAGATGCTGCCGACATGCCATCTTTACAATAACCTTTTAGCAAAAACAAGCATCCTCAATACTCAGTATTAATACCTCCCCCAACAGCTCAATCAGACTAATGCTATGCCTGCCATCTTGTAAGCACTTAATTAATATGTGTTGAATGAATGAAATGGTAAATATAATCATGTCTTAAATTGACTCATGTTACCTCCCTCCTCCCCTCTCTAAAACCCTACACTAAAGAAAGGATGTGATAAACTCAAATCTGAGCACCACTGGACATGACCTCAGGAAGCCTCGAATCTAGAGGAGCAGTTTTCCACCCCCGCTGCACATTAGAATCACTCAGGGAACTTTCAGAAAATACTGATGCCTGCACCGTATCCCCAGAAAGTCTGATTCAATTCAGCTGGAGTGGAGCCCAGGCCTTGGTGTTTTTTTCTAATGCGTAGCCAGGGTGACAGCTTCTAGTACAGCCCCTCAAAGGTCCAGAGAGGTGATGTCACTCCATATTCTCCATAGTCAAAGGCAAGATATGAACTCACAGTATCACTGAGTCACTCTAAGCTTTATCAGCTCTTTATCTCATGAAATTCCTCTTTTAACATTCATCTCACAGACTGCAGTTTTTTTAATTTATACATTCATTTAACAAATAGTTACTGAGCACCTACCATGTGCCAGGTGCTAGGGAGTAAGCCAAACAGCCAGTTTCCTATCACCATGCCCTCCTCAGGAAGAGCCTGTATACCGGAGGCCTCTCTCACCTGTCACATGGAGGGTTCCTGAATGAAGACTGAAACCAAGCTGAAACAAACTGAGCTGGGAGGTGAGGTAAGAGACATAGCCCTAAAGCTATGGTTTGAGTTCTGGAATTCTGCATCCTTGGGCTTCCCAGTTACATAAGCAAATAAGCCCCTCTTATGCTTCAGCAAATTTAAGTTGGATTTCTCTGATATAAAATTGAAAAAGTCCTGACTAACACAAGTGGTCTTTTTGGCATTATTCTGGTCATCTTTAGTCCATGTAAGGGAATTCAGCCGTCACTTGCATCCATTTGTCTATTAATCATTTATCAAATCTGCCCTGTACCAGGCAGTGTACTAGGCACTGGAGCTCCAAAGAGGAGTAAGTAAGTCATGGCCCCTAGTCCCAAGAAACTCACAAGCTAGTGGAGACAGAATGATACAAACTGAGAGAGGTCTTCAGGTCATACCCTCTGGTTTTAGTAATCCCAGCAATGGCCATACACCATTCCCAGAAAATACTCTGTCAGACCCATCTTTCCATCTCTGAGCCAAACACTTGGCTGAAGAAGGAAGTACCCTGATGGCTCAGTCTGGATCATAAGCGCACCCTGGAGAAGCCAACGGGTCCCTCTAGGTCCTCAGGCAACAGCTTGTACTTCCCCTCCCTCACTCCCATCATCCAGCATCCAGCTGAATCTTGAATCAATACCAGTAACTGCGTGTGAACGGAAGGAAACTGCTCATTACTTGCTATTATTTGCCTCTGTGTTCATTCTCTTTCTCTCTCTCTATTGCGTTCTCTCCTTGGGAACTGGTTCAACCAGAGTACAACCAGCTCATCTGCATCTGGCGTTAGAGAATCTGCGGGGAGCCAGAGGAGGAGGAGAGGAGGCGGGCGGGCAGGAGCTGGAGCAGCGGGCGGCAGGCGCGGCGAGGGCACAGCCGGGGCCCCGAGCCGCGCCGTCCGCAGAACCCATGCCCGGCCAGTGCCGCCCCGGGCTTGCTCATGAGGCCTCTGCCGAGCCGGAAAAGGAAGAACCAAGGTATCTCCCTGGGACTCTTCGCCCTCTGCCTGGCCGCAGCCCGCTGTCTGCAGAGTAAGCGCAGGGCGCCGGGAAAGGCTACCGGGCGGCGGTTCGTGGAGTGGGGGACGCGGGCGGGTGCCCGGGTCTCGCGGCTGCCCGCCGCCGGCCCGGCTGGCAGGAAACGCGCCTCCTCCTTGACAGGCCGCGAGCGGCCTGGAGCGCCGGTGAACCCCGCAGCGGGAGAGGCGAAGGCAAAGGCGGAGGCTCCCCGAGGTCCCCGCGCCCTGGGCCATTTCGGGGGCCCCTGCCCTGCGCTCCCCGCCTGGGAGGAGCGCGTCCCTCCTGGCTAGCCCGGCCCGGCGTTATCCGAGCCGGAAGCCGGCCCAGAGATAACCGGCTCCTGGGCCAGTGGACGCCTCCGGTGCAACATTTTTTTTGTTTTTTTTTTTCCCCTTTTCCTGGAATAACCATGACTACAGCTAAGGTGTCCATGACCGCAGGGCCTCACGACGCCCCCACCCTTGGGACCCCTTTCTCCCTCCGTGGGCTTACCCAGGTCACCAGTGCGTCCTGCAGGCCTACTCCTGAGGAGAAAATTTCTGGGGGTGTGGGTTGGGCATTGGGGCCTGAATTCTTCGGGCCAGAGGTGGTCCTCACCGACTGCTCTGAGCAGAATGCTTTGGGTGGGCGGGCCCTGCAATCCACAGGGTTTGATGGATGGGGCGTAACACACATCCCTAACAAACTGCCGTCGACGCAGATTATGGCGGACTTTTACTTTCTCATTTAATCATTTCTCGTCTCATTATTATCATTCCCACTTTACAGATTAGTGAATTGAGGATTAGGGAATGACCACAGCAGGACCACGAGGGGTGGGAAGATATATTAAACATTTATGCGTTCACCATCTCTCAGGTTTCATTTAATACTAAGGATAATCCTATGAAATAAATGCTACTTTTATCTCTGTTTCACAGATGAGGAAACTGAGTCACAGAGAGGTTACATTATTTGCAAATGGTTGCCAGCTAGTCAGTGGCACAGCCAGAATTCAAACCCTGCGAGTCTAGCACCCTTGACCTCTTGACCTTCACACCTTTCTGGTAGAACCCAGGCTTACAGGCTGCATATCTCAGACCCAGTAAGGCCGAGATTGGGACATATTCCTCCAGCTGGCTGTGGAGCTAGAAGTAAAAGGTTGTTAGTCTGTAGGTTCCCTATGAGTCGGAATTGACTGGATGGCAACGGGTTTGGTTTGGTTTGGTAAGTCAGGTAGGTGGGTGTGTTTGGTGTTGCAGTGAACTTTGTTGTTGTTTTCAAACACCCAGCACATGTTTCCAACCATCATTCTTACACCAAATCAGGCCCAGCCACTCACCACAGTGTATCATTCATTCATTCATTCACTGCACCCTGTGCCTGCAGGAAGCAGGTGCGATGGGTACTGGGCATACCATAGTTCACAGACAGGGCATCTGTCCTCAGTAGGCTTATGGTATCTCAGGGGGACAAGACAGGCAAGCAAACAAGAGTATTAGCCTGGAGTGGTAAGTCCTATGAAGCAGGAAGGGTTTGTGCTCTGGGAGCCCCATGAAGTCCTCAGAATCCAGACTTGGGGAACTACAGCAAGCCTCCCAAAAAGAAAGCCACATCTACCCAGACCTAACAAAGGACAGGACCAGCCAGGAGAATGGGACAGAGGGAATACAGGATGTCCCAGACAAAGAGAACAACACGTGCATGACCTGGAGGCAGATAAAAGTTAGCTATTCATTGAGTATCTGTCTCCTACACAGCTGTAAGCTCCATTAACACAGGCACTCATTCTCACCTCTGGGTCCCTAGCACTTGCCCAATGCTAGCAGGAGCCTATCCCTTAAAAGATGTTGAATGAGTGTGCACCTACCTGAACGAGGACTGTGCTTCTGGAATGATGTAGAGTGGGCCTCCTCCCTCTCTCACCAGCTCCCTCCATTCTCTGCCTCTTCAGCCTCTATCAAAAGCTTCCATCTAAAAAGTCTAATTTTCATAGTTTACACTGAAGTCTGTGTTAAAGTACACACACACACTCTACATTTTGAAGCCTTTCCTCTACAAATGGTACGTAAAAGCTTGTCCCCTGAGGAAGATAGCAGACCTTCCTCAGCAGGCCAAGGCGGAGAGTGCCTTTCAGGATACAAGCTCATTCTTTCCCAGCTCTCAACACTGCCAATGAGTACCTAGTAGTGCTCCTTCTCATTTAGAAGTACATGACCCTAGGCTAAAGTAGGACAGTTTAGTTAATGGCCTGGTGCTGAGTCAGCTTTGCTTCGGTCTCCCTCTCTCTCTCTCTCTCTCTCACACACACACACACACACACACACACACACACACATGCTTTTTAACATCCCCACCTCAGCAGGATGGGGCCAGGGATAGAGGAGGTGGCCCCAGGGAGTCCCTCACTGCCTAGTCCCCAGAACAGAAGAATAGGATGGGGGCTGAATCTCGGTCTGGGTAGAGGGTGGAAGACCCAGAGCTGCCACAGCTAGAGCAGATCTATGGGTTCTGAGTGGGGAGGAGAAGGCTGAGCCAGTGTAGGAAGAATCCTCTCAAGACCCCTGGATCCATCCCTCTGGACACGCAGCACATATTTACTGAGTACCTACTAAGTGTCAGGCTCTGTGCTGACCCCTGATGAAACAGACAAGTGAGGTGTGGTCTCTCTCCATACTGTCCTTCCAGATTATAATTATACAGAATGGTTTTGCATCCATATAAATGTACCCATTGAAAAAAATGTGGTCTTGGATGTGCTTTTTAAAAATGTAATCACACTGTTCTTGTTATTCAACAATTTGATTTTATGCCCATTTTCTAAAACTCTACGTTTGTTGATAAGCAGAGATTTTGCTTATTCCTTTTAGCTGCTATACAGTATTTCATCATGTAAATGTGCCACATTTTGTTTAGCCAACCCCCTACTGATAGGCATTTATTTTCAGCTGCTAGTCCTGAGGTGGGGGACAAACAGACCCCCAGTACAGGGTGGTGAGTGCAGTACTAGTGATGTGCACGTGGTATGAAGGGTGTGGAAGGATGAGTGCCACCTCCTGGCTAACAAATACCACCTGCACACACACCACCTCCCAGTGCTGGGTGGACACCAGGGGGAATAAATTAAATCTATTGAGGAAGGGATGAAGTCAACCAGAGAGTCACCCAAATTTCTTCATTTCTAATATCTAAGGGCCTTTCTGAGTACACTCATTGCTGGCTTGTTGAGGTGGGGTGGGGGGCTGTGTCCAGGAGACCCTCCTCTCTCTACTCTCTCCAGGACTTAACAACAATAACTCAATACTACATACTTCCTCCACTGTAAGACTTTTTTTTTTTCTTTTTTACATTTTAATATATCTAAAATCAGGATGCACATTACAAATCAAAAGCTTCAGTACAATCTCTGTTGGACTGGACTGAAGCTGAGTTCTTCCAGAGAGGATGTGTGTTGCTTCTGCCAGTCACTGGTAGTTGGAAAAATGGAGGCATCCTACATGGGGAGTCAGGAAAGGCTTCATGGAGGAGGTGAGGTTGAGTCTTGAAAGATCAGTGAGTACAGCAGAACAGGGTGTACATTAGAATCACCAGAGGAATTTCAAGCACACAGCAGGTGCTCAAAAAATAGATTTATTATTCCTCTTGGGAGGAGCCCTGGTGGTACAATGGTTAAGGTTGTCGGTTCGAACCCACCCAGAGTTTCCACAGGCGAAATACCTGGCAATCTGCTTCCGTAAAGATTACAGCCTACAAAACCATATGGGGCAGCTCTACTCTGTCACATGGAGTCATTATGAGTTGAAAATCAATTTGATGGTACCTAATAACAACATTCCTCCTGGGCCTGGCAGGACCTGGGCTTGCTAAGCAACAGAAGAGGAAGTGGTGCTGCCCTAGCACGTACCTCTTGGGAACTTAGCCAGTGTCCCACTCAGAGACCCTACTGACACTGGACCCCATAGCCTGTGCTCTCAAGGCCCTGTTGTCCCTGCTCCTGGGTTTTCCTTGGAAAACGGGCTTGGTGTAGGAAAGATTTTACTTATCCGGAGGAAGTGGAAGTTGGGGGATTGGCAAGTTCAAAGTTGGAAATGACATTCTCCTCTGGAAAATTTCTAGATTCTTTATATTGGGAGCTTACTGAAGCCATCATGGATTGCCTCTTTATGTGATTTGATATTGACTGTTGTCTCTGAGCCATCAATAAGTTATTATATATATTTATTTTATGTTTGCTTACTGTGTCCTAGCTTCTTGTTTTGTTTTGATATGCCCAAATATGCTGCTCATATGAGCTAGTTTGATTATTGGCACCCTTGAAGCTCTAGTGCCCTGTCACCAGGTGGTGAGATCTGTTACTAGGTATGTGAGCTCAGGAGTCCTCCCACTCCTCCTGTATGGAATCAGCTCAGGTGCCCAGGTAGATAGCCACCAAGTGTGTGATGTAGGTTCTCACTTACAGTCCTAGACAGGCATGGGTGATTGCTGTAGGCACAGGCATCTGGCTGTAGCAGGTGGACACACTCTGAGAAAGGCAGGGGGCTGATGGCCGCCCCTGAGTGTCCAGGAGGAAGGCGTGTCCCTATTCCCTAGAGTGTGTAGGTGGCTGGGTTTTGCAGCCAGACTATGAGCACCTAATGCTGTTGGTTGTAAGGACTGAGGGGCAGCTCTTATTCATGGGCCCCTGTCGCAGGTGACTAGATGTCATGGGTGGAGCCACCAGTCTTCAGGCCCTTGATATGGGTAGGTAAAGACCCTGCTTAATGGGCAGAGCAGTGTCAAATGTCAAGAACCTGCTACTTCACAGCTGAAATTGTTGAAGTTAGAGTTCCGGAATATACCCTGTTGTACTGCGGTAATGAGGTGCTATGCTGTTGAGATGGACCCACACAAGTCTGTGCAGGGGGAAAGGCACTCAAAGTCCATGGATCCCTTATGCCTGTGCCTAGGCAAAGGAGTTGTGCCTACCCTGAGTTCCCAGCTTAGGGGAGCTGGCAGTTTTTTTCCCGTTTGTTAATTTGTTCACTCTCCAAGGA